AATATTTTGTCAAACAATAGCAGTAAGAGTTGAAAAGAACAAACAGACCAGCCACTTGAAACACAACAAAGTGTGCCCTTCCTGAATATATATTGCTTTAGATTATAAATTAGATTTCTATAAACGCAGGTATCCTGAGGAATTTGCTACAGCTGCTCAAAATTAGTCTGCCACAGCCTCAGACATCAAAGGACCTGTAACCTATTTATAAAATGTTTAGATGTTACTTTTTTTTGCTAAATATGGGGATGAAAATTGTTATAACAAACTGTTGAATAACTGACACTTTTCCACCTTGTGAAAGACATTTCTATCTAATATTATGCAAAAAGGTTTTTGAGAGATCAGAATACATGAAGGCCAGTAAGATAAGAATATGTCCATATGCTTTTTGTAGAACTCAAATATATACAATTAAATAAGTATGTTTTGAGTTGAAAGTCAAATCTTCCCCAATAATTTATTGGGTGTTATATTACTCCCATGTCTTTATTTTTTCTTCCTCTGGCACACTTTGATCGTAAGTGGTAGCAGCTCAATTATTTTGGGGAGAATGTCAAATGGTGGGTAAAATAGAAAATCACTTGAATATTTACAAAATAGTTATAGAAAGATTAAAATTACTGGATCAAGTTCTATGAATTTTATATTTACTCAAAAAGAATGAATATGAGCAAAAGGCACCAGTTCACTCTGCTCGTCCTTTTACTTCATTTTCTTTCATACTTCCCTGTCCTTTGGTTTTCTTCATGGTTGCCCCATGAAGCTTTGCTTTTTTTCTGCCTTTCTTATACATATGCAAACATACTTCTACACCCACATCCATTCTCATCATTTATGTGTGCCTTTCCATCCAACTTCAAGGCCACAGATACCACCTTAAAGAAAACAGCCATTCCAGTTCTTGCTTGGTTTTGAGGGGAGGAAGCAAGTCATAGCAAGAACCAGACACCACTGAACAAATGCTCAGGGGGTGTTTGAGCGCACAGATTTTGTAATCTCTAATTGGTGGGCAAATGTTATCAGTGATGGGCTGGGCTTTAATTGGTAAATTGATTTTGGATATCAAATTGAAACAGCAAGCTTGTGACACCGTACAAAAGTACCTCCATCAAAATTATGCATTAACACACTTTTTAATAAGCCAGAGGTTATCTGTATGATTGTGCCAAGAGTGCCGTATGAATTGAACTAAGCCTAGATCCAACAAAAGGAAAAAAGTAAAGAAGAGGAAAGGAAAGCATGAGTATTTTCAGATCCTAAGTTAATCTCTGAACTAGATTTCAGCTGAGTCAGGCAGATGACTAAGCTATTCTTTTTTTATAGAGTTGTGGAAGAACAGAGCCAATCTACTTACAGTTCATTCAAAACTATGGACCTCTGTTCTCCCTTCATGCTTCCAAGCAGAGTTCAGAAATCTATGGCTCAGAGGCCTTTCTTCTCACTCAGCACAAATAAAGAGCAAGGTAGGTGTTACAGCAGCTCTCTTTGACACATTTTAAATTCACACTTCACACCCCTTTTCTGTAATCTTTCCCTCGTCAGACCTTGATTAATTAAAAAGAACATGCAAATCAAGATGCTAGATTTTTTTTTAAAAAAAGCAAAAGCCTAAGTTCAACATACTAACAAGTAAAGCAAATTTCAAGATAATATTGACAACAATAGATAGTTAAACATCTTATAAGTTTACATGGGAGAGTAATAACTATTAATGATAATAATAATTACATAATAATCCACATCTGCCTATCTGAGATCCTTGGGAAGGATTTGATAGGTGGACAAAAAATGCCAAATCCAGTCTGAACATCTGGCTGGTTGTGTGATGAATCATAATTCCATATAGATTTGCAGGACTTTCTAATGAATGTTAATTCAAATTAATATATACCCTTGGAAAGAATCGTATTTTAATACCTGTCACATACTTTAAACACATTGATAAGATACTGAGAAAGCTTCTGTGGGATTTTTCTTGATTCTCAACTGTTAATTGGCTAATATTTTGACCTCTATTTTCTAGTGGAAATTAAGGGATTTAAGTGATCGCCAGTTAAAAAGTTATTATTTGAACCCCTTAGTTTTCTGGCCAGGTTCCTGGTTTGACTAACAGTGAGCTACTTTATCAGAATTAATGGTTGCAAAGCATAACTGTATGAGATTGGGAAGGTAATTTAAATCTGATTGCTATTTCTATGGGAAATTGCCACAGAATACAACTCTACAAATAGCAGGAAAAAAATCATTTTAGAGTTCATGTGCAAAAAAATGGTATAAATTCACCATGTTGCAATTTGAATTGTCCACAATTGCTGACTAGCAATACATTCCATTAAAACATTTATTGCCTAGACAATGGGATATATTAGCACCATTAGAAATTCATAGATTTTTATTATCTTGATATAGAACATTGCGTAATTCCAGATTCATATTTTTTTATATACAAATGATGAGTATCACTTTCACATACACGTATAATATAACGTATAGTTTACAGATTTAAGTCAATTACGAGAAACTTGAAACAATATTTTGAATAATCTGTTTTTAACAAATTAATGGGCTATTTAAAGACTATGAAATTGTGTTGCATTAAGATACAATTCAGCAAAATTTTCCTTTGGTATTTTCTGCACATTCTAAAAGGTCTGGCTATCATCTTTAGTATCTTCAGAAATGCAATATGGCAAAGGGGACAGTGACACAAAAGTGCTGAATTTGTTTCTTAGTTTTCCCATTTTGGCTTAATATACTAAGAGGAAAAAAGATTGAATATCAAGCACTTTACTAAAGTGTGCTGTACACCAAAAAGCTGATTACATATATTCGTTCATGAAAATCTCTGGATTAATCATGTATGAAGTGTGTAGGCAAAAATATCAGTTTACTTAGATGTAAAGTATCTGCTACCCCAGATTTAAAATCCTGCATTGAAGGTATGTGTTTACTCTCCACATAGTTGTGCTTTATACTTTCTTTTGTACATTCAAACAATGTCATTTTTAAGAAATGTGTGCTTAGTAAAAAAAAAATGCAATACAAGGTGCTGGTCTTTTACTGATTAAACATACATCTCTTTTTCCATTTTACATGAAAATTACTATTGGAAGACATGAAAGATAGCATCAAATGAAACATGGTGTAACTAACTGAAATCACTGTCAAAATATCTCCAAACTTTCAAATGGTTTGTTGTTGGCTTACAATAGCAAAACCATTCAGCCTGTTGCCCCTTAAAAAAACTTATTACAGCATAAGTTTTAATGGAATAAAGTTTGCTTTTCCAGAAAACATTTACCCCACAAATGATAGTTTATCAGTTAAGGGCATAAGGAGATCTAGTTTTGGTAAATACAGGATGCTGTTTCAACTCTATGAATCTCCAAAGCCAAGAAACTTGCTGTGTTGTTACTACAACAAAAACCACAGGTTTTTATGGCTATTTAAAAAGTAACACAGTTATTGTGACATTTTTCACAGGCTGCAATTTCATGAAATCTTTGGTATATTATCCCAATCCTGTTAACATTCCCCAAGACACTGACACCTTGGCCATTTTTCTAGGTATTTGGGTCCGAGGTTAGGTGAGTTCAGCTACTATTGACAGTGAGATGATTTAACAGTTCATCCTTAAGTGGCAGAGAGTTATTTGGTGGGTAGATTTGTTTTAATCTCGTAAACAGTCCAGAATCATTTATGTGAAATGGATGACGATATAAATCAAATAGATACATAAATAGAAGGAATAGAATAAATGGGAAGAGGAATTGTTAAAATGATAGGAAAAATGATAGAAAATAATTACTTATGTTTTTTTATAACACAGTTGTTGATGATGACACTGATATTCTCACTGATGTGTTGATTAATAGCATATGGAGCATGATAAGAGACTTGGTATCCATTAAACCTATCTAAATCTTAAAATGCCTAAAATTTCAAATCTGTTATTTTGCTATGAAATTGGCCTTTGAATTCCTTAGTTCAAGATTGATTACCTTGAAGTCCACATCAGAAAATACTGGGGAAACATTCCTTGTTGGTTTTCAGATACAGCTTTTTTAAAGTAAGATTTATATTGTTCTGCCTAGGGACTACAAAATAATTTATCTAATATATAGTACAATACTTAGATTGCTCTCAGCTAGCTAGTGAGTGAGATACTGAAAGAATAGATTTCCAAGGATATGAAAGTTCAAATAAGTTGGTTTGTTGCAAAAAAGTTAAAGAAGCCATTATGAAAGAATCTTGTCAATTCTTCAAAGTTCTATTTATAGAGAAATCAAGATTTCACATTTTCATAGCTCTTTCTTTACAAAACCATTACAGCATTTTTGTATAAATGAGTTGGTTATCCCATGTAGTATGATGAGAATCTCTGTACTACCCCTGTAATAAGAATTTTGTTTTTTAAAGATAATAAAAATCATTTTATTTTTGCTGTGCTATATCATCTCAATTATCTAGATATTGGGATGAGTTACACCTTTGAGGATCAAAGCAGCTAAAAGCTGCTTTGCTTTGATTGATAAGTAGGACATCTTTTGAAGAGCAGTATTTGAGGAATTTTATAGACCTGTCATTATATTTGAAGCCTTCATAGATGTCCAGGAAAATGGAATGGAATTCTTCATTGGCCAATTGCAAATGGATACACAAAGAATTTAATTGTTTTTTATTATGAGCAATGCTGGAGAGCTATTATCAGGTAGAAAGGCAAGATCTAAATGTAAATGCCTTGAATAATTATGTGCACCCACCACCTATACTCACATAAATAACTTTTTGGAATCTTTCTGGCACTTCGAACTCCTGTGATAAGCAACAGCCACTATTAACCTCTTAGAATTGGAGCTTTATCACAGTGGACAAGATTATCTTGGTCAATCAAATCTCAATACATCTGATTTCACAAGTTGACAGTTTGGCACTTGAACATCAAGGTAATACCATCCCACTAAACATGATTATCTACTAATAAGAATGGCACTCACTGGTCATCTCCAACCTTCTTCACCCATGCCATGTCCCTTTGCGACTGACTAGCTGCGAGATCCTAAGAAAAATTAGAGCAAACTTTGTTATAAATATATACTCATGGTTACACAATCCCCAGTACAACAAGCCAGGGGAACACAACTAGAGGGAAGCTCCATTTTGTAAATAAAATAAATGAGGTCTTATTTGCACTATTTCAATTTGATTTTTATCCATGTGGTTTCCATTAAAGTTCTTCATTAAAATTTTAATTTGAGTCTGAAATCATTGCAAAAAACATGTCCTCACAAATTGCTATTGCCTGGGCATGCCCGTGCAATTTTCTGGGCAACATTTTTAAAAGTGATTCGCCACTGCTTTCTTCCTAGAACTGAGACTGATTAACCCAAAGTCACCCAGTTGGGTCTATGTCTAAGGGAGGAGTAGAACTAACAGTATTTGTTTCTAGCCTGGTGAATCATAATATATAGAACATAGAAGGTCTTCTAGTCTGACCCCCTGCTTGAGCCGGAGACCCTATACCATTTCAGACAAGTGGCTGTCCAGTCTCTTCTAAAAAGCCTCCAGTGATGGGGCACCACAACTTCTGAAGGCAAGGTATTCCATGGGTTAATTGTTCTCACCATTAGAAATTTCTCCTTAGTTCCAGGTTGCTTCTTTCCTTGATTAATTTCCATCCATTGTTTCTCATTTTGCCTTCTGGTGCTTTGGAAAATAGGTTGACCCCCTTATCTTTGTGGTCATCCCTCAAATATTATTATTTGACATATTGATCAATATATTATTAAGAAAGTTAGATAACTATTTATGGTAACAAGAATTAAATCCTAATGATCTTATATAAAATAAGAAATATCTATGTATTAAAAAAGGGAAACTTATTTAACAAATACAATAAATATGAGTGATTTTCATGTGTTTTAATCAGTAATTCAGTAACTGAGTGCCACAACCTGAAAATGGGACTTAATTTATTTGACTAAAATAAATGTTCTTCTATTGTAGGAGAGACAGTGGTAGAACCCAGGCTGGAGTTAAAATAGAGATCAGCATATAAACCTTATGTTGCCACAAATGAACTAAATTTAATCTTCCTTGAATTATGTTGACCCTTATCTAATCCCTTAACTGTTAGATGAGAAGATTCAGGGGCACAGACATGATTAGCAATAAATTAATTTAATTGGACTTTCATAATCTTTCATGTCTGAAGCTTTTGCCTATAGTCCTCTGAATGGTCTCTACTATGATTCCCAAGCCAGCATGTTCAGGATTGAAGAATGCTGGTGGTTGTAAATTTAACAATATAAGAAAAGGTGAACAACATCCACAGGGGAATACAATTTTCCTTGGAATGAGAAACAATGTTACATCACAAGTTGCTCTCTTCTGGAGAAAAGTAGACAAGTGATGGGGGTTGTGTTGTGATGCTGCTGGTGTTAGACTGACTCCTCTCGCCCTGTCTGATGTCACTGCTTGGAAAGACTACAGCATCTTCTCTACTTCTTTCTGCTTTAGATGTACAACATTCATTCCAACCAGGACACTAGAAAAATTAAAGCTGTCAAGTAAGATATTACAAATACAGAACAGGAAGTTTATATTTCTTAATTTGTACCTGTGAGCTCTGCTACTACATTTTTTAAAGAAAAAAAATGCACCTTTAAGTTATATAAGCAATGTGTTTAACTAATCCATGATAGTGGATTAAATGAGTAGGTGGAAAATATCTGAAGAACTTTAGGCAGATTTTTCAGAAAATCAGGGAATGGTTGAAGAGTTTGAATACAAAAGTCAATAGGCAAAGCTGGCTGGGGAATTCTGGGAAGGCCACATATCTTAAAGTTGCCAAGATTGAGAATCACTGATGCAGGATATTCCCATAAAGTAGGACAAGAGTTTTTGTTTGTTGTATAATGTGGTCTAGTTTCACTGGCTTGAATACAGACGGCCAGGGATGGATATTCCTCATTGAAACCTCTGGGATTATAGCAGGTAATAGGAAATTCCTATCTCAGTTACATTTATTTTTTAATTAGCAGGATGAGAATAATTCAATTGCATAGTCTCATACAGCAAATATCTTGCATATAACATATCTAGCTGCAATTATCAGCTAAGACCATCTCCTATCATATTAAATTCTGAAGGTGGGAGATATACTAACAGGATTCAGATATTTTCATACCCAGAAGTCACAAAACCCCAGAAAAATACAACCCTCAGGATTTTCCAAGAGTATTTTAAATAACCTTCAATATCAAACAGTTTGCACCATGGACATCCCCCAAAATGTTATACTGTTAAAAAATTCTTTCCAAATTACAGGTTCTCCTCAACTTATGACCACAATTGGGACCAGAATTTCATTGCTAAGCAAGGTGGTTGTTAAGTAAGTCACACCAAATTTTACAACTTTTTCAACATATCTCTGCAATTGTTAAGTGAATCACATAGCCACTAAGCGAATCCAGCTTCTCCCATTGGTTTTGCTTGTTGGAAGCCAGTTTAAAGTTTGCAAACAAATGATCCCAGGATAATGCAACCATTGTAAATACCCATGCTGATTGCCAAGCACCCAAATTTTAATCACATGGCTGTGGGGATACTGAGATGGTCATGGGGCAGCCGGTTGTAAGTCACTTTTTTCAGTGTCATTGTAACTTTGGCTGATCGCTAAACAAATGGTTGTAAGCTGAGGACTACTTGTATTTGCTATTTCCACCAATTTCATGTTTTGAGAACTCATCTAGAGTTTTTTTTACAAATAATATTTTAAACTGCCTTGATCTTTTTATAAACGTGATTAAATGTCTCAAACAAGATCTCTAAGATATTAACTAACAGTACAGGGAAATCCTGTTAGAAGTACCTGAGCCCTGGTCTCCTGCAGTTGCTTCACCTCTGCCTGCAACCTTTCACATTCAGCCTTCAATTGTTCTTCCCGGTGCTGACAGTTCTGGACTTCCTGCCTTGACTTCTCAAGCTCCACTTCCAGCCTTTGAACCTCCAAGGCTTCTGCCTGTTCCAGGCTCCGTGAACTCGGCCAGTTTATTGAGCGATCCAGTACTAGGGATGGGGGGGGGTGCGTGTTGTGAAAGAGTAAAAAAGGTGGGAAGAGAGAGAGAAAGTCATTATCAAAGATCACAGGATGGAAGACAGACTGGCAGGGTTAATTGTTTCTCAAAATGATGAAGGACTGTTATGTTGAGTTCCTCAGAACTGGAATTGCATAGAAATAAGACTCCTTGTACTTTTTTTTAAGGGCAAATAATTTGTCACAACAATACTGGGGCAAGAGCTTCCGAAAATAACCCCTACGCAATAACAATTTTTGGTAGCCATTGTAAACTAGGAAAAGGATATCTCCTGGCCAGACTTCAAAATATGAAAGCAGACTTGTGGTTAATCTCTAACTTGTAGGCCAGAATTAATGACAGAATAGTCAGCTTACTGACTTCAGTTACTGATTTTAAATATTCATAATGATGAAATTAGGAAGAAAAGGCAGAGAATAAAGAATTATTGATATGGAGGCACGACCTGTTGCAGATTGTGCAATTTGGAGAGTTCTGGACAGTACTGGCTCCCAGATTGAGATGGGCCTAGGAAAAAGCTCTGTTGGAGCCTTTTCTCTATCAGTGAGTCCATCTGGCTGTGCAGGCAGCCTTCAAAATATCACAAGAATGGTACAGCTAACCATCTGATTAATTTCTACATTGTCTAAGACGATGCCAAAATAAAAAAATATGGGAAATTAAAAAGAATATATGTGGCACTGCTAGGTGCTGGAACCAAAGAAAGAAAGTGACAGAAGGCAAATCTTCAAGTGGGACTATCATACACAAATGAACTTTCAAGCTTGCTTTCCCTTACCTTTAAAGGGTGCTTCAGCCAACTTATAACTGTATTCTTACTAAAACAGATCTCAGGCCCCAAAGCTTACATAGAGCTTCCAGAGCCCATTCTAAACTGTAAACTTATGGGGTAGTTTATTTTTATTTGAATTTAATTTAAAGATCTTTAATTTTTATCTTTGCCCTACATAAGGTAGTTGGCATGCCTGCAGCATACATCTCAAAGACCAGTTATGGACCTTGGTCTGAAATAGATTGGCTATTCTCCATTACAGGGTTTGACCATGCAATTGCTAAGATCTGTTTGTAATGCAGCACCCATAAATTGAGAAGCTAAGCCTCCATTCTGATATGCCTCTAATAACATAACGCTATATTGTCAGGATCAACAAGCATTTCAGATTTTCTCAGAGATGGACAGCTGCCCTCTATGAAAAAGCAGGAACACTGCTCCAAAAAGTGAGTAGGTAATAGGTAAAACCATCCAGAAAACTGGTCTGTATTCACCAATTAACCATTTTGTCCCTTTCCTGTATTCCTTATGCTTCTCTTATGAATTCAAAGCAAGTAAAGGTCAAAGGGAAGGCAATATTTTGGAAACTACTATCCTGCACACAGCCAAGTTTCAAGGAATCATAGCACCACCTACTGGCTGACAAGTATGTGTGCCATAATGTGAATAATCTCCATTTACACATGGGGAAACACATTGGGCTATGCCAGCCTGACATATCAAGTTTTGAATTATCAATATACTTGCTCCATTTTTCCAAGACTTTAAAAACGTAACTGTGGAACTCTTGCTGGTACAGGCCATGTTTCATCCTCACAGGATCCCAGAATGAAGAATGTTCTACACTGATAATCAGGTGGAAATCTGGTATCAGGTCTTGGATTGACATGGTCCCAACTACAATTACTGAATCCAGTAGAAGAAATACTCATATAGAAGTCATTGGCCTCATAATGGTGATTTCATAATTCCTCTTCAGTCTGCAACATTTTTTTATCTGCATACAACACCTCCATTATATTTACAATTTAGTGTACCTATTCACAAAGCTCTTTGAATAATTGGCATTGCTCTACATTTTCAACTGGATATTAACACTATAATACACTGGCAGATTTTAAGGAATTTATGTTATATGTTATTAGCTGTGTTGTATGTCTGTAAATTATATTACATTTTTACTGGATATTTAAGTATTACTGTTTTTAATTCCATTTTAATTGTTTTTTATTTTAAATGTCAAGATTGTTGCACAATAAAAATGGAAGATACTAATATTATAATTTATTATATATTTTACTTCTATTTATGCATAAATGAATAAATAAATATTGATGTGAATGTACTACTGGAAGTCTCTAGGTCCAGCTTCTGAATAGTCACCTGACCTCACAGTCTGAAAATACTATCTGACTTCAAAAGACATATTTCACCACACAAATCCCTTAATTTATCCGACTTCATCTTCTGCCTCTCTGGAATCTGAGCACTGACCTATTTCTGCTCATATCTCCTTTCACGAACCCTTTGGACATTCAACTGTTTTTCATGAACTATGATTACTGCCTATATTTGATGCAACTCAATCATCTGCAGTCCTTTTAATCCTGTACTCTTGCTTCCAAAATTGATTCTCCCAAATTGCAGTGTCACATTTTGGTTAATGCAGCATTCTCCAAACAAGTACCTTCAGATGTGCTGCAACTACAATTCCCAATATTTCCACCCAGGGTATCTAATTCTGGGATTTGTAGTTCCAAACTTTGGATCAAATCAATTGAGTAAAGCTGGTTTCAAACCTAACAGTCAATACTTTGTTCTCTGGACTAGAAATAAAAAAAAATCACCATGAGTGCCATGAAGTGATCGGAACTGAACTTCTTGATTTTGAAGTTGAGAGTTGAGTTTTTGGAAAGTGTTGCCATCTCTTTGCCTTAACTGCTGTTCCAGGCTCCGAATGCAATTCAAATGTGTATCAACAAGTGCTCTCTGCAGAAAGACCAAGATAGAAATAGATGTTGGGATAGAAAGGCTAGTTAATCACCATTAAATCAGCAAGCAGAGAAGCCTTCAAATCCAAAGAAGCTGTCCTCCACTTTGCCTCGCCTCCAATCTAAGGCCAACCCTCACTCTTCTGCTCTGAAGTCTTCATTCTGAGTTCACACTGATCCTGATCAACTTTTCCTTCATTTCAGTTTTCTTTTTTGGTTTCAATTATTTATTAACTTGCCAAAATATAAAATACCAAAATACAAAGAAAAAAAATGGAAAATAGGGGAAAGGAAGGGAAAGAGGAAAAAGCATGGGGCAAAGGGGGAAAGAAAGGGAAAAGCATTGACTTTTTGGCACAGTAGGATGATGTAATAACATACAGCCTTAAGTTATACATATTAGCCATTTCTATAACAACAAATCTATCTAGTCAGCAAAATCCCAAATCAAAATTTCACTTCTTTTCATTTGTTTCCATCTCAAGCACAAAGTCCAATAGTGGTTTCCAAGTAGAAACAAAATAGCAATCAGTCAATTTCGCCATCTCTGTTAACTTTGCAGCCATTTGTTCATTGTGGGCGTTAAAGTATCCTTCCATTCTTGTGCATAGAGTAATTAATAACTCTTCCATTAAAGATTTTATGTTGTACTCAGCTAAAAATCAAATCTGTTCAACAATAGCATCTTAATTTCATTCAGGGTTCATATATTAAGCAAGAGTATAGCTATAACAACAGCAATTTCTGATAATGCTCCAATTGTATTAGGTTTTTTCAATCCATGATCTCAGTTTTGCTTCCTTTTAAATGGAGATTAAATATCTCATTATTACATAATGTTTGGCTCAAAGACAGCATTGCTAAAGGATTATAAAATTCCTCCAAGAAAATAATACAGTTGAATGAAGAACATATGAAGAAAGGTTGCAGGAATTGGGTATGTCTAGTTGAATGAAAGGAAGGATTAGAGGTAACATGATAGCAGTGTTCCAATATCTCAGGGGCTGCCACAAAGAAAAAGGGGCGTCAACCTATTCTCCAAAGCATCTGAAGGAAGGACAAGAAGCAATGGATAGAAACTAATCAAGGAGAGAAACAACCTAGAACTAAGGAGAAATTTACTGACAGTGAGAACAATTGATCAGTGGAATGACTTGACTCCAGTGGTTGTGGATGCTCCATCACTAGAGGTTTTTAAGAAGAGACTGGACAACCATTTGTCTGAAATAGTATAGGGCTTCTCCTAGTACAGGGGATTGTACTAGACAACCTCCAAGGTCCCTTCCATATCTACTCTTTTATTCCTATTCTATTCTATTCTATTCATAATGGTAAGGCGCTAGTAGATAGGAAGGAAAATCAAGTTCCATTAAGTAAACAAAAGAACATACAGAATAATTATAGCATTTTATTCTATTTATATATGTAATAATTCTAAATATATTCAGTTCACAAATTGCAGGATAAACTCTAAATTAATAGATGATCATAGAGATTTATTTAGTCAATTAAGAGAAGCTGAAATAGTACATTTTAAACTGGTAGGCTGCATTGAACTGTTTAAAAGTTTTAAAAAATGAATGCATACCAAATAAATATTATTTATATACAAAGTTACATATAAGTTCCTGTCTTGTGGAACTAAAGAAGGTGTGTTTTGTTATTCTTTAACCAAATAAGGATGTCCACAAAAGCTCAGCGCATAAGCCTATTACACTGTTAAATCAAGATGAAAAAACCTATAAGCTAAAAATGTTTATAAATAATTGTTTCCTAATAAATCTGGATTTATTCCTAAAAGAAACCTAAACAATTAAATTATAGGCATGTATTATATGGTGTTAGTGTGTTATGCAAAACATAATAAAACATTTTATTTCCAAGAGCCGTGGTGGTGGAGTGGTTAGAATGCAGTATTGCAAGCTAATTCTGCTGACTGCTGATTCCCAGCAGTTTGGCAGTTCGATTCTCAGTGGCTCAAGGTTGACTCAGCTTTCTATCCTTCCAAAGTCAGTAAAATGAGTACCAGATTATTGGGGGCAATATGCTGACTCTGTAAATCGCTTAAAGAGGACTGTAAAGCATTGTGAAGCAGTACATAAGTGCTACTGTATTGCTATTGCTATTTGCTTTGCTCTGCTTGGATATCTTCCAAGTGAAAGGCATACAATATTTCTCCAAACATTATTAGAAATAAAATAGAGATTATCTGCACTTTACAATGGCAGTTGGAACTGGGATTGCCATTGCTGAGAAATGCATTTATAAAGCATTACATCATTCTTTCTTTCCTCTACAGTCACATGGAGGACTGAATATTTTGGCTGAACATTTTGTATTCTTGATCACTGGCTTCTGCAGAGTCACATAGGGGGACAGAATAATGAAAGGAATGATACAGACCGATCCTATTTTGTACTAGTGCTGTGACATTGCATGCACATTCAAGAGTTGGAGCTTGTGTCACACTACTCCTTTCATCATTCTAAGAAAAGCAAAAAAAAATCTCATATTCCTGACTTAAATCAGGGCAATATTTTTCTTTGTCATTGCTGAGTAGAAAAACTGCAATTTGAATTGCTATTCTTCCTTAATTTGTATTCCTATTTCAATGTTTCCAATTCACATTAATTAACTGATTTGTATATGGCATGGAAATCTTTATTTATATAAAATAGTTGTTAAAGGCTTAGACAAAGTATAGAAAAGGATTTAGGTATAGCAACCTGAGATATTATAATTATTATTATTTTATGCCTTTTTATATGTACCTCAAGGCAGTAAACATACCTAATACTCCTGCCTCCTGTTGTTGTTTTCTCTACAACAACCCTGTGAGGTGAATTGGGCTGAGTGAGAATGATGGGTCCAAAGTCACCCAACCAACTTGCATCCCTGGGGGTGGGTTAGGACTCAAGTGTCGTTTCTAGTCAGCACCTTTCCCACTACATCAAACTTTAAAGATAATAATAAAAAATTATACTAATTTTATTATTATTTCAATTTAAGACAAGTAACACATATTATTCAGATCTCAAAGCAGGTTTACTGAGTTAGTGCTAGATATTCAGCTTGTAAAGCAATATCATTTCTCCCTGATATTAAAAGTACTATTCTTTATAGTACTATTCTCCCGTAAAACTGTATTATAATACTTATTGTCATCATGCTGAAGGAGTTTAATCAAATCATTATGTATAGCCATTTCTGGTGACAATGTCCATGCAGTTATACATTTGGGTTGGAAGATTTTCAAATAAAATGGAAAAAATATATAATATCTTTAATAATTCATTTGATTTGATTAATTTTTCATCTTTCCTAGGCAGCATAAAATGGTATAATACAAGAAATTAGTTCAGTGTTGATATGAGCTGCCAATTTTACTATAAGAAAACACTGCAGGGTCAAAGGGAGAAGTTGAGATAAGGGAAATTTTGGTCATTAAATTTAAAATATTTAAAAATTAGTCAAAAATAAGGATGCTATTTGTTTAATACTTAAAAATTAGACCCAAAAGAAAAAAATATTATGAATATGTTTTTATTGATTAACTCAGACAATATATATAATGGGCTTTGATTTATTAAAGGGGATACTGTATTATTAATTAGATGATTAAGATGGGGGAAAATAGATAACTTTTAGGAAATAAAACAAGATTATATCCCAAAGATAAGATATGTATTTTGAATATTAGATTCTGTTATGAATTGAGATAAAGGAAACTTTGATTACCTAAAACCTGGAAATTATAAATATCAAACGCTGAATTTGAATATTGATGGGAAACTAAAAATTGGGAAAAACTAATAACAGGACATTGATTGAATGTAAAGAATGAATGTAAAAGTAATTAAGATATGTATAAGCTAAAAAATTATTAATAAATGTAATAATGATGTTTTTATTTAGTTGATATAATAAGAACTGCATTAGCTTAAATATGAGATAGTAGATATTAAGGGAAAAAGAGAGGAAATATTTGAGGTTATAATTTCAGATTTGTACTAAAAAAAATTGTATGTTACTGAACTATTGATTAACCCAGCCACCACGTTGCTTTTTAAATACCTAAATATAAAATTAGAAAATTAATAAAAAAAATATTTTTAAAAAAAGAAAACACTGCAAAGCTTAACTACATCAATGGAGTTTAAAATATGGGAATTAGCAATGGATGAAAATTTATACAGTAATCCATAATCTTGAAGAATCTTTTAACTAAATATTTACATTGTGTGTTCTTTTATTTAGTTGTATAAACAAATAATTCCTAAGTCATTACATCCACCGATAAAATATGTTTTAGAAAGAAATAATGAGTGAGGATGTTTACTTAAGTTTATCTTTCCTTAAATTGTGTGTCTCTGTGTGTGTGCGTGCACACCTAATATAGTATAGATTTTCACAGCTGGCATCAATGAAGCAATATTGAGCCTCATTCTATGGCTAAAATAGAAAAGCCATCAAGATCCATTAACACGCCAAAAGAAAATCATGATTGATGTTCAAAAAAAGAAATCAATTGGAAACCAGCTTTCTTGGACTCCCATGATATGGACCATAGATCAGCTTGCCAAGTTCAAGTATAAAATCCAGTCAGCTCATTTCAGCTGCCAGTGAATTGTCAAGAGAGGTACACCACAAAGCAGCTCACTCTGCCTTTGAAGATGCCAGCCACAGCTGCCTGAGAAACATTAGTACTAGACCATGACCATTTAGCTGAATAGCTCATCACTGCTTCAAATCTTTCTCTTGCTTTTCTATATTATTTGAGTTTTTTCTCTTTCCCAGACTTTATTTTATTTATTCCCAACTTTCTCCCTATGTTTGAAAGAGGTTCGATCAGTCCTTTATTTTCTTTTACTGACTTTTTTTTAACAACAGATTGCATCACGGTCTCATGTTTATTTTTAGTTTCTATCCATTAATACAGTCTTAAGAATCTGAAGAGATTCTTTGAGAAACAACAGCTTTAAGCCAACAGATGCTGGAATAGAAATTATAGCATTCCCCCACACCTGAAAAACTGTATTGTGTTATCCCACATTTCACCCTGGACCTCTTAAACTGTCAAGTACTCTCAGGAATACTGAAAAACTCCATCTCCTTGCTAGCATTGTATGTCCTTTGCATGTCCTTTCCTTCAGGCAGTAGAATTAACCTTGCTTTGCACTTGTATCTCACCCTCTAAAGGAGTTAGATTAGTTCCCTTAATTCAAAATGTGACCCTGTTGAATTTGTTCTACCATATCACCCTGGATTTCTGTCTCATTTCTGCTGTTGAGTATGAAATTTGGAAGTTGAATAACAGGGCTCCTTAGTAAAATTATGTTTTTTCTTCAGAGACCAATTATTATGATGCTTATAAGACCGGATAACAAGAATTGCAAGTTCTATATTAAAGTTATGTCCTAATCTATGCTTCGAGAGGAAGCAAAAGGGATCAAGCCTTGCCAACCTAGTTTTGACTGGCTAAATAATAATCTTATAACTTTTTATAATTAGTATGGCAGATTATCGTCGGTGGGAAATAAAAGAAAAGATATACCATTAAATCCATTAGTCACTGAATTCATGAGAAGTTCTAATTCTGCCAGTCAAAACCAACCCCACTGAATAAGACAAATTGCCTCTGCGTGATTCAGAAATGCTTTATGGGGGCTTTTTTGTAAAAGTCAGGGAAGCAAATGGCATTCCCTATTCACCTAAATTAAGATTAATGATGCCTATGGCCATCCAAGCTATTTTTAAAGATAAAGCAAAAAATCTTAGAAATATCCATACCATCTGAGGCAGAGTTGCAGTCCGTGGCAGCAAAACCTCATGGGACTTACTGAAATCTTTAGTGGCAACTCCAGAGCCCTCCTAAGGTTGCCAAAAAAATTACTGGTATATCTTGATTAACATAGGAATTGGGATTTCCTTTGCTAAGTGATGCAGTGCAATATCACCTAACAATTAGCAGTCTCAGTATTCCCTATTGCTGTTGTTAAATGAGGATTGCAAATTGTTAAATGAGTCCCAGGTGGCTTGCAAGAAGCCCAGGAGGCAAATAAGTGTCTGCTGCCAAGTGGGTGTCCACAGCAAGATGCAACACCAGCATGGTTGGACTAGGGTGGCTGCTGCTGGGCTGGAAAGGGTACATGGGCAGCTGATGAGATAAAGGGCTATCATGATGAAGCCAAAGATGGCTGCTGCAGGGAGGGGGAAAATGCAAACCATCTACCCAAAGCAACTTGTGACCTTCCTTGTTGGCTTCCCTGTTGCTTTGCTTTGGGAAACCAGCAGGGCAGGTTGCAAATGGAAATCACATATCCATACAATGCTGCAACCGTCATCAGTCAAGCCAGTGACTGTGGGAGGTGCTTGAATGGCTGGAACTGCAAGGACCAGTCATAAATACCACTCATTCAGCACCATTGCAACTTTAAAAATCCCTGATTGAGTAGTTGTTAAACAGGATTACCTGTGTAATTTTTTAATGTGATAGAAGTTAAAACAATATAGTAAATAGATGAGAAATTAAAACTGTCATGTGTTCTATGTTTGGCTCATATTGTTTTACTGTTTTTACTGATGTTATGTTGTTTATGTTTGACATGGTTTTTATAATCTGTGTAGTGAATGAATCAAAATTTATTTAAGGTCCAAGACCAAACGCAATAAAAGACCAGTAATTAACAACTACAAAAAAATTAAAAGGTGATAAAATCCTAACACAATTAGCAGCTAACAATTAATAGCATGAGGGAGGAACCAGATGGTTTCTACAGCAACAGCTATAAATAAGAATTTTACATTCTTCTTAGAAGAATGGTCACCAAGAAGAAGGGTAATAACCACTTGGACACAATAGCAATTAGAGTTAACAATTGGAAGTATTCAACTTCACTGTTCCTGGATGTACAATGGACATTTTAATAGCACATGTGAAATGGATTCTAATCAAGTCATAAAATATTGAGACGGTGTATTTGAATGAAAAGTTTGGATATTCAAAGGTAATGAATTTTGATAAAATTGTGACTGATAAGAGTTGTTTCAATACTGAGGGGAAATTAAGGTTAAATAAGAATCTTGAAAACAGGACATATAATGACTTAATGATGACTTCTATAAATACAATTGAAACATAAGCTGATTAGAAAAGATGTTATATGTTGATGTTATTGTTAAATGTACAAATTCTAGAAAAACGTTTATACCAAACTCTATATGTATTGAAAGTATTAAGAATTATATTTGTTTAATGTAGACAAAAGGAGAATATTACTGGAAGAAGAGAGGGTAAAGGAAATATATTATAGAAATTATTATTGTTTTTAAATATATGAACCAGACAACACATTGTTCACTAAGCACTAAAGATTGTTATTGTAAAAAATTAATAAAATATATTTTAAAAAAAAGAAATTGCATTTCATATGGGTGGCATATACTGTAGATCTACTAGTTGTTGTCCTAATAATTAGTGCCCAATTCTGGCCAAAGTAAATAGTCTCCTACCTGAAGGATATAAAATGTGATAGAAATATCTATGGACAGATCTTGGCGGAGGAACAATTGTGCTATAAAACAATTGGGAGAGTTTGGCTCTATCATAATCTCTGTAAATCACCAAGCCTTTGGATTTTAGCAGGACAGAAATTTGAAAACTAAACCAATACATATAAAAATATTAGTGATTCTATTAAATATAGTACACTGCCAGTTTAGACTGGTGGTTAAGGCAGTAGGCTAGAAAACTAGACCATGAGTTTTAGTCCCACCTAATCCCTGAAAATCAGTTAGATAACTTTGGCCCAGCAATTACTTTCTCTCAGCCCAACCCACTTCACAGAGTTGCTATTGTGGGGAACATAGGAGGAAGAAGGTATGTGGATATGTTCGCTCCCTGAGTTATTTGTAAACTAATATAAAGACAGGATATAAACAAATAAAATAAAAAATAAAATTAATCATTTTGATTGTATTAGATTATTTTCAATGAACTTTAATTAAATCTACATATGTTAAATTAAATTTAGTTCTAGTCTTGTCTCCATCTAAATTCTTGATTAAAAATTTTGCGGTAGCCCCATAACAAAAAGGGGTGATAACAGGGATATTGGTGAATGGGGCAGGGTGAGAGTATAGGAAAATTCAAGGGGATAGTCATGACTGTGCAATTGAAACCCTGCCCCATTTTACAAGTATGATATTCATAAAAAAGGGAAGTCTTCAATCATATATTGGCTGCCATCTTTAGTACTCTGATATAATGTCAGTACTCTTGCAGATGTCCTTGGCTGGCAGATGTCCTTGGCTGGCATCTTTGCTCAGTGTCTTTACCCAGTGAAACAGTATTTCACTCAAGACAGCTGCAAACATGGCTACTTTCTCAGTCTAACAAATCACATCATCAAATATTCTATGGGGGGGAGGGGGGAAAGGTAATGCATGACCAGGAAAGTAGTTGAAACCCACCATTTGGCCCAGTTCTGACTCAAGGTCTGTTTTCTCCACACATAGCTTCTCATAGGCTTGGATCATTTCCTCCAACTGTTCTTCCCTTTCCTTGCTTTTCTGCAGCTGGTTTAGAGAGAGAGAGAAACAGGAAACAAATGAGCAAGAATCACATTCAGCAGCCATTAATTATCTAAATCAGTGACTGCCAGTTTCAAAGGCTGGAGACAGGCAATTGCACATTCCCTGCATTTTAGACCCTTATACCATCTTCTGCCCCAAATTAAACTCAGGAAAATCTGTTCTTTCTGCTTGGTTCCTAAGTCAGATATGTTCAGCCAGTTTGGTAACCAGCAGATAATTTTGTGAGTTGCTGTAGTAAAACAAAGCAAACCTGGATGGTCCTCCTGAATTAGGAGGACCATTCAGCAAAAATGGCAGCAATTCATACTAAATTTGGAGCCAGGTACAGTTCTCATTTCAGAAATGAAATGCGGAAGAATTCATTTTACAGCAAAAGAATGCTCAAGCTGCATCTATTTTCACACAGAAAAGTACTGAAGATATCTTGAGAAAGTTTCCATTTACACAATTGTGTACCTGCAAAATCTATTTACAAGAGGCGAAAATGAGGTGAATATTAATTACTCCATAGTAATTAATAGCTAATTATCTCCACTGCTCCCAAAAAAATCATGCGATCTATTTTCAATTAATATTTTTTCATGGACAAGTACCCTCTGGCACATACTGTTCACCCAGCACTTTTTTTTAGATACCTTGAAAATCAACAATTTGTGTCACCTTTTCTTTTTGGTAAGTATTATGAGGCAAAAGTAGGTGTTTTAGAAGTTCAAATCCATTTAAAAAAATTACTTACCCAGTCCCCAAAACTTTGGTTAGATTTTTCCTGTGGGAAGGGGTGTTGATTGATGCAATAGCTGTCTTAAGTCTCTCATCCAAAACATCTATTCTACTTATCCCCCACCCAAATATTTTAAAATGCCCCAAAGTGAAGAATTTAGCACTTTCTACTCCAAGATTGTCCCAATGTCACTGTAGAAATATTAATTCCATAGAAGAAGGCAATGTGGCTGAATTTTGGATTAGATTGGTTTGTGCATTTGTTAATTCCACACATTGCTACAACAATTCATACTGGAGATGTAATTGAGATTGGCTTTACAAAATCATTTTGTGAAATCATTCTCTTTCCTGAATCTTTAAGAAGAAGAAGCCATTAAGAACATGGTCAACAATATTATGAAGCAAGGGAAATAGTTGCAACATCATTGCTGTCATTAATTGTTTTGATTTTGTCTCCTCCAAGATAGCATTCTTTCTGACTGCACTGAAGTTTTTAACTGTATTCAAATGACCTGAGCAGAAATTCTCCCTCAGACCTCCTGGCTTAACATGGGAAGGATGGGATTAGGCATCTTTCACTATTTTAAGACATTATGTGAGAAGTTGAATCCCTGTAGGAGGGTTCTATTTCACTAGTAATTCTACAGAAAAATTCATAATACCAAAAATGTAGAATATTCCACAAAATTTGTTTGGTAGAGATCATCTAGCAATATTAATTCCTGCAAATGAGCCATAGACCAGGATTCTTTAAAAAGCCATACTAAGACATACCAATACAATTAGTGAACCACTTTGTCAAAAATAAGTGAATTCTGCATCCTGAATAAGTCTTATTAATGTCTGCATACATTTTGCTTTTTGGATCTAATTTTCTTTTCAATTCCCATCAACTTTAAGGAGTCCCCAAAAGTGGTCCACAGTGTGAGAGCTGAATCTTGTGAAGTAGAAATCAGTTTTAATACTAGAAAAGATCATCATGTAAAAACATCTTAACTGCCTTTTAAGGCCACCAAGAAACTAGCTAAATATCTATTAATTCAGAAGGGGGAAAGCAAGAAGGCAGACCACAAAACATGTCTGCCCTTTCTTTCTTTCTTTTTCTTTCTTTCTTTCTTTCTTTCTTTCTTTCTTTCTTTCTTTCTTTCTTTCTTTCTTTCTTTCTTATTGCACTGTCATGATCATTGCAATCGAGGCCTTCTTTTTGTCTACAATAAAAATTGTGAGCCAAGGAATGCCTAGAAGTCTCCTGCCAAGTCTGGCCAAGAGCTGAATTTAGGGCGAAGTGTCTGGGTTTATGCCTAGCCTGGGTGTGAAGTTTGATACAGAGCATTGAAAATCAACCACTGGAATCTTTGCTTCATCCTTCTCTTCTAGTGTCAAGAGAACTGGAAATATTTTAAGAGAAGGAATGCAGATGGTCCATTACTAAATTAAGAATGGCACTGGAATAAGATTTGAACCATAACAAAAATCATCATTCCAAATTATTGAAGAACAACAGAAGAGGATGGTACCTTCACTCCCACCTCAATTCTTCCCTCTCTTTCTCTCCTCCCCACCCCAACAACACTTAATCTATCTTTAGTTCAATTCTGCTAGTCCTTCCATGGGAAAAGTCTGCATATAAACTAAGTAAGATATTGAAGCCCAATTCTTGTTTCTATAGATGCGATAATCCTTCCTTCTTTTATAAGGAACAAAATTTATAGTATGATTGATTTGGGATTGCCAAGCGTTTGAAGCAGGGGAGCTGCCTCCACCTAGCCAAATTACTGAGTGTGTTTAGAGCTAGACATTGTGTTCTTCATCACAACCATAAATGGCTAAAAGCTTGTTTTAAGGTGTGGAACTGAAAATAGCAGATACAGTATTTTTACAGAATTTAGACCTTGGTCTGAAAATCAAATTATGTACTTGCTTGATGAGTTCATATTAATGTAAAATTTAAATATAAAATGTTTTTCTTATAGTGTCCAATCAATATATATGTATTCTATATCTCTGTCTCTTGCTCCATCCATCCATCCATCCATCCATCCATCCATCCATCCATCCATCCATCCATCCATCCATCCATCCATCCTTCTATCTATCTATCTATCTATCTATCTATCTATCTATCTATCTATCTATCTATCTATCTATCTATCTATCTATCTATCTATCTATCTATCTAACTACATATTCACCAAATAATAATCCCAAGGTGACCTTAATATTAAATAGTTAGCTTCAGATAAAATATTACCATTACTTTGTTATGTTATAATATAGGTCTGAAATTCTGTTAATAATGATAAAAATTTTATTAAACACCTTATTTACAAACAGATTAAATAAACTTATTCCAACCAAATAAAAAAAGATTTTTTATTTTTTTCTTATTTTTAATACCTTAAACTTCCTAAATAATTGAATGCTCATAATTTATGTATATTACATATAATTGCACTAAAATATTCATTGAAATAATGCAATGTGTCAAGATTTACAACATTATAATAAAAACAAAATTAATAATATATAGAACTAAAAAGGGCTCTGTATAAAGACTCTTTGTCCAAAAGAGTCCCTTGTTGTTGTTAATTGCGAAGTCGTGTCTGACCCATCGCGACCCCATGGACAACGTTCCTCCAGGCCTTCCTGTCTGCTACCATCTTCTGGAGTCCATTTAAGTTCACGCCTACTGCTTCAGTGACTCCATCCAGCCACCTCATTCTCTGTCGTCCCCTTCTTCTATTGCCCTCAATCTTTCCCAGCATTAGGCCCTTCTCCAATGAGTCCTTCCTTCTCATTAGGTGGCCAAAGTATTTGAGTTTCAACTTCAGGATCTGGCCTTCTAAAGAGCAGTCGGGGTTGATCTCTTCTAGGACTGATCGGTTTGAACGCCTTGCAGTCCAAGGGACTCGCAGTAGTCTTTTCCAGCACCATAGTTCAAAGGCCTCAATTCTTTGTCGCTCAGCTTTTCTTATGGTCCAACTTTCACATCCATACACTGCAACTGGGAAAACCATGGCCTTGACTATACGCACTTTTGTTGGCAGAGGGATGTCTTTGCTTTTTAGTATGCTGTCTAGATTTGCCATAGCTTTCCTCCCCAGGAGCAAGCGTCTTTTAATTTCTTGGCTGCAGTCCCCATCTGAGGTGATCTTGGAGCCCAGGAAAATAAAATCTGTCACTACCTGCATTTCTTCCCCATCTATTTGCCAGGAATTGAGAGGGCAGGATGCCATGATTTTGGTTTTCTTAATGTTGAGTTTCAAGCCAACTTTTGCACTCTCCTTCTTCACCCGCATCAAGAGGCTCTTTAGTTCCTCTTCACTTTCTGCCATTAGAGTGGTATCATCTGCATATCTTAGGTTGTTGATATTTCTCCCGGCAATCTTAATTCCAACTTTTGATTCATCTAGCCCTGCCTTTCTC